ATAATTTATTTTGCATTCTAAGAAGTCAATGAAAAACGATGTAGCCACATCAAAAAGAAACTAAAAATAATTGCATTTTAATATCAAATTACAGAGACACTCTTTGTTTCATAAAGTTTTTTTTTAAAGTCTTCAATCTAAGCTTTTCTTCTAAATTCAGTAAGCATTTCTTTTGAATAGGTATGCAAAATTGAAAATGGTAGCAAAACACGTATTTGGGAAACAGGAGAGAGAACCAAAATGATAGATTCTGGCAGGGGAAGGGGAAGGATATAGAGCAGGTAAAAACAGTACCGTCTGTGCCATCAGTGATCTAGGAAAAGGGGTTCTAAAAATTCCCACTGAAGCCAGCACACATAGGCACACACACATGCACACAGATACACACAATTATTTCCTCTGTGAGTTGAGGACAAGAACGAATTTTGACAAATCACACAATGGTACAGTTACTATTTCAGTCAGTCTGTAAAATACAAGTTTTGTCATCTGGGGCTCTTCCCCTTTATAAAATATTTCTCTGCCACCCAAAACAAATTTGAAAATAAGCATCTAAATTCTATCTACTGCCCAAAGATTGTAAGTGTCTCTCGGAGTTGAACTTCACCATTTCATTTCACAATTTATCCACAGACTGTCTCGGCTAATTGAAGTGCAGCTTATATTAGTGTCTAAGCAGGCAGAATGAAATACATCAGGAGCCTTCTCAAGGCTGGATGAGTCCCTCGATGTTGGCCGTGATTCTGCCTTGCTCTCCTGCTGCTGCTTCCCTGAATGCACTACTTCTAAATATGAAAGTGTAATCACCTGAATTATAATTACCCACACACACTAGAGGTACATGGTCAACAGAAAAAACATGTTTTTAAAACTATCCAGCACAGAAATTCCTCAATTCATGTTTGTTCACTATCCTTTAAGAACCTTTTCCTAGAAATCAATCACTAAGTAAAATAAATAAATAAATAAATTGTGGAGCTGTACTAGGATAATTCTGTCACTTGTGAATTTACGCCCAAGATTGGGCTAAGGCAGAGTGGGGGAGATACTAAGATATCTTCTGAAATGTCACATAAAATATTTTTATTTGGAATTTAATTGTTTCTTTCTAATCATTCATTACATTCTGTAATCCAACCTCTTTTCTTACTCTTTCTGCAGCTCTACTGAGTAATATAGGAGAAGAATTTTAAATTGCAGCATTTAATAAATCTCCCAGGTTCAGTATGTTGTCATTACAGATCCCCAAAGAAGTAAGTCAAGGCTAAACCCACTCTCACCCTTTCATTACACACAATTTCCAATGTATAGCTGTATTTTATCCCACACCTCACCAACATATGCAGACTGAGTGGGCGTTTCCAAATGATTTCAGATCCTGGACAAATGATTATGAAAGTGTGTGAAAAATTTCTCATGTAACTGACACAGACACAAGCAATCAAAAATGCCCATTCATCCATAACATATTACCCAAAACACCTAGGAGTGTCATTAAATCCCCTGTTTTATGTCTTTATACTTTCTTTAGTCCAAAGGGGATTAAAGGCAGCTTAGAAAGATCCAGACAGATTGAGGCGGGGGGTGAGGGGAAGAAAGAAAAGAAAAAACTCATGGACACGGATAACAGTGTGGTGATTGCCAGGGGGAAGGGGGAGGAGGGGTGAAAGAGGGAATAGCAGGGAATAAATAGTGATGGAAGGAGACTTGACTTGAGGTGGTGAACACACAATACAGTGTACAGATGATGTGTGGTGAAATTGTGCACCTGATATCTGTGTAATTTTGTTAACCAGTGTCACCCAATAAATTAAATAAAAGGGGAAGGGGGATTCAGATAACATTCAAAGTTAAATAAAGTAAAAACAAGTAAGAAAATGAAGCAAATGGAAAAATAAAGATTGTGAAGACCCTGGCTTAGTTAACCCACCTACGTCATCCTGCATTAAACTTGGAGCTCAAATCTCATATCCCTAATAATTTCCAGGATGAGCCTCCCAGCACCTCCAGCAGAAAGAGTCTGATGTCTGTCCAGTCTGGACATTTTCTCACCTTCTCCATCTCAAAGCAGACACAGGCCAGGCCACTGTCAAAAACAGCTGTCTGCATTTGGCCAATATATTTCAGTGTTTGGGTTTATCTGAAAGTAATGTGGAAAATGGAACTGGCCAACATACCAGCTTTCAGATTAACCCATGTTTCTTACACACACACACACACACACACACACACACACACACACACAAAGTCTTTAGCTAATATGGAAAACCCCATGAGATCACGGAAAAAGTTCATAAAGTTGCAGCATTTCTAAGTGAATAATAAATTCACTCAGAATACTTAACAGCTTCCCTTCTTCAAGAATAGATCTCTACCAGTAATATTATGAAATCTATGTTTTTTGCTACTAATATTTATTCACATGCCTCACTCATCATGCTTTAAGTACTACTTGCAAGATTGCTATGGTTGTTAATATTGAGAGAATTGCAAAAATATTAAGGTATCTAAATTACAAGCTTTTAAAAACCAGCATTTTCTAAACTATGTGCTTAATCTAAATAGTATTTTTACATACTATTATGTACTGTTTATGATATATACATTCCTATTCACATACCTGTGTGACAAGGGCTTTTGCATAATGAAGAGTGGGTCTGCAGCCTTTGGTATTGAATAAAATGCATATTCCTGCTAATGATAAAGGTTGATGAAATGATCAGTTCTTTTCTTATTAAACACGAATATTGACTGAATTTGAATATAAATTAAAAGGCTTACCTTTCAATCCAACTGCAGTCTTTATGTTAGCTGTCACCGTGGATATCTTAAGCAGAAGTGTTTGACTCTTTTTGAAAGAAATTTCTGTGATAGTTGAAGATTTATAGTTTTGTTTTGTGTAGCATTATTTTTAAATTTTTAATAAAAGTTCTCCAAAATAATGCACACAAAAAAGAGACACAATATAACTGCCAGTGAAATATATCTTTATATTGCATTTTTAAAAGTAAAATATCAGTTTTGGCCAAAACCAGTTTGGCTCAATGGATAGAGCGTCGGCCTGTGGACTGAAGGGTCCCGGGTTCGATTCCGGTGAGGGGCATGTACCTTGGTTGCAGGCACATCCCCAGTAGGGGGCGTGCAGGAGGCAGCTAATTGATGACTCTCATTGATGTTTCTAACTCTCTCTCTCCCTTCCTCTCTGTAAAAAAAAAATCAATAAAATATATATATATCAGTTTTGGTTTAAGGAAAGAATAAAAAGAACAGGAAGACGGAGGAGGGAAGTGATCTTCAATATTCATGAGTGGGGTTTGTTGAGATCAAGTAGAAAAACTAAGGGACAGAAGTCATGAATCCTTAAAATTCATCCCTTTCTCTTCAAAGGAAAAAAAAAAATCCTTCCTAAAACAAAATGTCTATTTAAAGAGCAAATAATGGGTAAATGTCAGGAAATATGAAAGAAAAAGTGTTTACTCTGCCTCCTCTCACACCCTACCCTGTTTCCCTGAAAATAAGACAGTGTCTTATATTAATTTTTGCTCCCAAAGATGCACCAGGTCTTATTTTCAGGGGATGTCTTATTTTTCCATGAAGAAGAATACAGTACACATTTATTGTTAAATGAAAATAAAGGAAATTTATTACCTGTATACGGTACGGTAGTACGGTAGTTGTCAACACAAACCAGACAAACTGTGAATTCTACAGTATCAAGAATTTACTCTTTTATTCATTGACAATCATGTCATCATCTTCTGGAACATCATCATAACAATCCAATTCCTGAATTTCCTGGTGAATTTCTTGTGACTCCATTTCTTTCAGAATCAGTGGACTAAATCTCTCATGTTTAGCCTAGGGGGCGGCTTATTTTGGGGGGGATGCCTTATATTTCACTCAGAAGGAAACCTTTAAGTAGGTCTTATTTTCGGAGGATGTCTTATTTTTGGGGAAACTTGGTACATGTTTTTTAAACATTATTCTGTTTTTGAACTTTTGACAAATGAAATTCTTTCTCAAATTATATACTTTTCTATCTGCCAATTGTCACTCTATACATAATGAGGATGGCCATGTATCAATGAGTTTAAAACCATTTGCTAATTAAACATGTCCTGGAAATTAAGGCTACATAACATAACATTTATATATACAAAGTTTAGTGACTATACAGGACACACAAGATAAACTTCTCAAGAAAAATATATATTTGCACACTTTTATGTACACAGTTGTTGATTTCATTAATATTTCCTCTTGAATACCTAACATTGAACTAATTTTTTCTTAATAAAATACACTTTAACAAATTTTATATAATCCTTTGGAAGAATCATAATCACAGACATAAATTATAAAAAGTAAGATTAGCTGTTTGTCCACCAGTAATAAGTATTGAATTAACACTTTTCGGTACCTAATATGCTTTGAACTTGTTAGTCTTACTTTTCTTAAAAGAAAAAGAAAACATATTAGTGAGCAAGACGCAGCTTTCAAATTCAAAGTAATTTCCTATTATATATATAAATGTTTATTTTTAAAATGAGGTGTAATGCTTCATTTCTACAGGTATCTAAATTAAAGTATGAAATCTTATATACACATAATTAGCAAATATGAGATTCCTAAAGATACTTGACTTTATATGTATATTTTCGTATGTTTATCCACAGCAAAAAAAGAAATAAATAAGTAAATAAATAAACTGTCAGGTTTTTTAAACTTAGCTATGAAATTCCTATTTTGGACTTGAATTGAATAAAATGTTAAATAATAATAACTTCTTTTAAGTTAAAGAAATATAGAGATTGTTATTGAGGTGTAGGTTCTAAATACCTGTGATATAATCAAAGAGAAGACATTTCACAGAGGAGCTTGGCATATTATATGAGTACAATAAGTATTTCATATACACCAAAGCAACAAGAATACTTCCAAGTCACTCAATCTCACTTTCTCATCCAGAAATACTATGACATCATTAAACAGTCACCTACATTACTGATTTGTTCCTGCGTCCTCTTCAGCCTCTGCAGTTCCGGTGTGTCCGTTACGATGCTGAAGCCCCGCCCTTTGCTTTCTTCAAAATCTCTTTTGTACTTGACCTAATGGGATAGGGATGGGGGAGAGGGGATAAAAGAAAGAAAAAGAAAAGTAAACAGAGGAATTACAAACCCCACTCAGGATAGGCCAGCGCCAAAAAAAGCTGCTAAAATTGGAAGCAATTAATCCAGACACAGCTCTCTCAGCAAGTGACACAGTGAGAGGCAGGGGCCTAGCCAGACTGTCTGGTATATAGCCCAGCCGCTCTACTGACTTGTGATCTTAGGCAAGTTGCTTAACCACTCTGTGCCTCGGAGGTCTCCTCCATAAGATGGCAACCACAGTATTTAAATAGCGCTATTTCATAGGTCCTGAGGATAGGATCAAATCTAATACAGTAGTCCTACCTAGCCAATAGCAAGCAAGCAAGTGCTCTGTAGTAGTTATTATTATCATCGCCATTAATAGTTGTTCCACTGCTGAAGAAAAACATGGAAAAAGAAAGCTTAATCTCTGGCTCCTGTGCCCGTCTTGTCGGTGACAAAGCACCTTTTTGAGCCCGGATTGCACTATGGATGAGAAAGACATATAAAATCAGCAGCAGCTCCCCTGTCCTTAGAAAGTTTTCATTATATTTCATAAGGCAGAGCATGTGGGTATGATTACACATTGCTGTATTGCTAAATGACAAGTATGTAAATGCCTATGGAAGTATTTATACAATAAGCCACACCTAGAGATTAAAATGCTTAAAGCACATGCCCTTAGCAAACTGTGTGCGGAGGTACTTAAGATTTTTATTTTTTGGTGTTTAAATACACTTTGTTTCCAATTATAACCCAGTGAAGCTGAATATTGTCGTTTCCTTAAGGGAATGGAATAACTAATGCTTAATCTCACTAGAGCCCTATCTCCTATTATTAGCATAATGATGATAACTGTCATGCCAGTTAAATATTCTGTTTGTCAATGACTGAGATGATTATATCACTCTGACTGCTCCTATTTCTTTAGGAGCCTAAATATTAAGAAATATTAAAAACAGTTTTGATAACCCACTTTACATTCATAATCATCAGTTTCAAATTAAAATGTATATTAATAATTAACATTTAAGCAAGCTAGTAAAAAAATGATTCGGTAAGTGTAACTTTAAGTATAAATTTTACAAGTTTCCTTAGTTTAGCATGGAATGACTGTTTCTGTTGAGTGTTGTCTGTATTCAAATATTCCGTTCTCTCAGGCATTATTGTTCTTGAAACCACTGGAAGATTTCCTTTCAGCAGAAAAGCTTGATAGAAAAATAAATCCCAGATGACAACAAGTAGAAAGATGTGGATAGTCTCATTATCTTAAACTTTAAAATATCTAATTTTCTCTACATATTTTTATTTAAATTTATAAAAGTACTAAAACCCTTACTTTATTTCCCTAAATAAAAGGACTTTATCACCCTTTTTTTCTTCCACAGAAAATGTCCAATGGCCCTACCCGATGTGGCTCAGTGGATAGAGTGTCAGCCTGCAGACTTGAAGAGTCCCGGGCTAGAGGTCAAGGGCACATGTCAGGCTTCGGGCTCGATCCCCCATAGGGAATACAGGAGACAACCGATCAATGGTTCTCTCTGTTTACTGATGTTTCTATCTCTCTCTCCTTCTCCCTTCCTCTCATTAAAAGTATTTTTTAAAAGAAAATGCTAAATGAAATTAACATTCAAAACATCAGTCTCTTAGCATGTGTGAAGATATACACACCAGTACATTCTTGGTGTTTTATGCCCAACTAAGCAGGGAAGCCATTTAGCTTTGCCTGAACTTGGCACTAGGGCAGAGAACAATAAAATAGCAAAAGAAAGAACGATGCGAATGTTATGATAGCAACAGGCATGAAGAATTAAAAAGGAAAAACTATAAGCCAAGTTCTTACATCATTAACGCCAGTTTCAGGGAAAGCACAAGCACATATTTCTGTGATTAGTTTGAGGGTTTTTTAATGGTAATTTTTAAACTAATTACCATTTAATAGCCCTTTCCACATTCACAAGACACATAAGAATCATGATTTGGGCTGGCCTCAACTATACTGAAAAGGATGCAATCATTTTCTTAAAAGGTTTACAGAATTTTAGAAGATGTGTAATTCTTTTAATAGTGAGATCCTCAACCAAACCTATATAGTCTCAGCACCAACTCAAGCACCAGCCCACCCAGTCCATCTTCATTGCCATCCAGGCATTAGTCGGTGCCTCTCTTTTCTACGCTCCCACCCACCTACATCCTAGCTCTCTGCAAGGTCTAGAACACATGGAACTTGGTGATAAGGTCTAGATCTTATTCATCACTGTGATCCCAGAACCCAGCATAACACCAGGCCCATGGAGTTACTTAACAAATGATTAAAAAGGAGGAAGTGATGGAGAAGGGAAGAAAGAAGAGGGATGGAAACAGAGGGAGAAAGTCTGACCCAGTTCCAGTTGTAAGAGAGGAATCTCATATTCAGGGACTGAAAAGTGGATCCATTTGGCTGCAGCATCTGGTGAAGGGGAAAGACCCAGGAGATTAGCTAACAAACACAGATCTAGACCATATTTGGAAAGAAACTGCTGGCCATAGTTTTCATCTTAGACCATGCAGGCAGCTATAATAAAAATGCCAGCCATAGACTAGTAGCTTACAAACAACAGAAATTGCTCTCTCGTCATTCTGGAGGCTGGGAAGTCCAAAACCAAGGCACTGACAGATTGGTATCTGACAGAAGCCTGCTTCTGGTTCAAAGACCACTGTAACTTTAATCAGTGGAAGGTGTGAGGGAGCTCTGTGGGGTCTCTTTGAGAAGGGCACTAATCCCATTCCTGAGGTCTCCACCTTCATGACATAAACACCTCCCAAAAGCCCCACCTCCTAATCCCGTCACAAGGGGGATTAGGTCTCAGCATAACAATTGGGTGGAGGGGTGAGGAGAACAAACAGTCCATAGCAAGTGCTTTTATATATAAGCATCCAACATTAACTCAAAGTATTCATCAAGCCTCGTATAAAGTTTTCTTAGAAACTCCTCTTTCCTCAGTAAAAATGCCTTTTCTTCCCTTACACTCCAGAACTGGATACAAAATTATCATCTCATCGCTTGCTTACTCTGCTGTTAAAAAAGTACCTCCTGAGGATCCGACAAATAGCAATGGCGGTATTCTCAGAATGCCATTCTCTGGAATATTCTCCTCAAATGTTCATTTATTCAATCCATTTGAATATCCAATTCAAATGCCAAGTACTATTCCAGGTGTGGAACAATACAGCACAAAAAAAAAAAAAAAAAAAAAAAAAAAGGGTCAATGATCCCAAACCTCTGGAAGATTACATTATCCTGGGAAATAGAAGGCACCAGGTCTACATAAGTAGAATAAATGGTATGCTAGTGGTGAGTCTAAGAGAAAATGAAGCTAGAAAGGAAGTGAGAAAGGTCAGCAATTTATTTCTGACCTTTTTATTGAATTTATTGAATTGACAGTGGTTAATAACATTATGCAGGTTTCAGGTATATGATTCTACAACACATCATCTGTATATTGCATTGTGTGTTCATCACCCCAAATCAAGTCTCCTTCTATCCCCAACTACCTCCCCTTACCTTCTTCCACTCCCCTGCCATCTCCCTTTCCCTCTAGCAATCAACATACTGTTGTCTGTGTCCATGATTTTTTTTTCTTTGCTTTATCTCTTTACCCTTCTCACAAGGTCCCCAACCCACTCCCCTCTAGGATGGCCAGGTGAGCTCCATACTCCAGTCAGAATAGGTCAGGAAGAACACAAGAGAAGGGAGTGCAGAACCAAGTTGCCACTGTGAGTTCAGAAAGAGAATGTACTCTACATTAAAAGTAATGCAGTCTTAGTTTCTTTTGGGCTTATCCCTTCAAAAGTGAATAAAGGCACATTGAAATGCATTCTTAAAGTCAAATGTAAGAAATATATACAACACGCCACACGATTTGCCATATTTTTCTTCAGAAGTACCATAAAAATGTATTTCAAATATTGAGTGCTACTTAGTATTGACATAATCCATATGTATGTATCTGCATAGGTACACATACACACACACGCGCACACACACACACACAAATATTTATCTTTCTGTACTATAGATTAGAACCCTAAATCAAGAGTCAAAAGGCCTGAATTTAAACCCTAATTTTGTTCTGTGGTCTTGATTTATTCAATTTCTCTAACACTCTTGATCCCCAGCTATAAAATGGAAAAAGCAATATGCTACACAATGTTCAGATGGTTAACATAAATGACATGTAAAAAGGTCAAGCAAGCCGAAACCGGTATGGCTCAGTGGTAGAGCGTCGGTCTGCGGACTGAAAGGTCCCGGGTTTGATTCTGGTCAAAGGCATGTACATTGGTTGCGGGCATATCCCCGGTAGGGGGTGTGCAAGAGGCAACTGGTCGATGTCTCTCTCTCATCGACGTTTCTAGCTCTCTATCTCTCTCCCTTCCTCTCTGTAAAAAATCAATAAAATATATTTTAAAAAATAAATAAATAAAAATAAAAATAAAAAATAAAAAAAATAAAAAGGTCAAGCAAGGACATGCCCTTAGTAGGTCATTAGCAAATATTAGTTTCCTCCTTCTTACTAAACAAATGACATGTATTACTTAAATATGATCATTTCTACCAAAGTGTGTGTGTTCAGTGATATTTGTGTTGGGAATCATCAGCAAGTGACACTCAACAGTTCATACTAAAAGCCAGGGTGGTGCTAGCCCAGCATAAGGAAAAGGCTCACAGTGACAAAATAGTGAGCAGAGCTGCAAACTGAATTATGTTCTAATTCTGAGAGATGAGTTCTCTCCTCCAAATACTGCAAGAACCATAAATGTTACTGTTATAACAATGCAAATAAATGTGGAAAATTAAAACCACCAAAAAAACAGGCCACTCTTAGGCAGAAAGCCATTTGTTCTTAAAGAAGTCAATGGAACCAGAGACTGGTCAATTGTTGAACAATAAATTGAAAGGAGATTAAATAAGAGTAAGCAATGAGATCAAAGATGGACAC